AAATCTCAGGACTGACAATAGAGGCCATAGTTGATTAATTATGCAAACATTAAATTACTTGACTTTTCAGATGTCCAAAATTGAAGGTGCTGTCTTTACCAACACTTATATGGAACGATGACAAGCAACTCCCAGGGCTGATGTGCAGCTGGAAGGAAATGGAAGCTTTAGAAATGATCTGGAAGCCAATTTCATTTCTGAAAATGCTAGAGCAAATCATGATCCACTGCCCCAACTTTCATGAGCTTAATCTCTGCGGCTTCCTCAATGGAAAGGATGCACAGGCAATGATCAGATGCTTGCCTAAGTTGAAGAGACTGCTGATGAGTGCATCCTTTCTGCGAAAGGATGATTTGGTGATGATTTTGGATGGATGCAAGGATTTGGAAGAGGTTGATGTTTCCAGGTGCAGAGGATTGGATGTTGATGATGTTTTACTGAAAAAAGCTGCAAAGTTGAGCAAATTTGAGTTCCAGGGCTGCAAACCTGAAGAAATCTATGGCAATGGCTACAATAATTATGATGATTTATTCATGGAATTGGTTTTTGGATACTAGTGGAGTATGGATAGTTATTTCTATTCTGAGTTCCCTTAATTGTACTTATTTTCTTATTAAACTAAAGGAAAGAAGTTGTTTGACAGGAAGAATGTTAATTTTTGACAAACTCACACAATATTTCTTTAGGAGTTGTTAAGCAAAGAAGTTTAGGGCTCGAATCTTACTTGATTCCTGAAAACTCATTCCTCTCTTTTCTTTAAATTCTTCTTATACCACGCGAAAGATATGTCACAGTCTGTCCAATAGAATCCATATGCATAATTGATTATATAAGATAAAATTAAACAAAGGGAGGGATAAAATATTGCTATAATATATTCTAGTTTATTGTATTATTATTTGTATAAAAGCCTATAATTATCCTTCTAAAACACAATTTATTAAATTATCAAATAGAGTCATATTAAATCACAAGCATGTGAAGTATAGATGGAAATCCTTTATTTGCAAAAGACATAATTATACTACATCATGATTTCGTACAATCACACTTACTTTAAATCCTCGTGTCAATGTTAGGATGTCCCATGAAAGCGACGTATTGTGTGACTTGAATATAATAAAAAAGGTGCAAGAGCCATTGCACCACTACCATGGTGTTTTGTTAAATATGCTAGGGTTTCTATATGATAAATAGGTGCATGTATAAATATTAGTCCATAAAATTAATATTAAGATATGAACCGGGAATATAGGTACTCTCACAAGTAAATTAATGAAGTCAATAGATATCATGGATCATGGGATAATAAATATCTTATGCATTCATGAAAAGTTGGAGAAAAGGATAAGGTCATTGATAGCCATGGTTTTAGACTTTAGTATTTGGGTAGAAGTCGTACTTGAAATGGTGTAGAAATAATTGGAGAGAAGATTTTTAAAGATAATATTATAAAAATAATAGAGTTGAAGATAGAATTATAGCTCTAATGATTGTTGTTAGCACTATGGTTTATATTGTTTTAAGTTTTTATGCTCCCCAAGTTCATTTGGATATACATTCAGAAAAAAAAAATTT